AGTTTCACTCATCGGGTGAAGTTTATTCTTCCACTGAGCTACTTATATAATGTTGGTAGTGTGAGGAGATTTGGGATTTTTGTGGGATTTCGTCCCGTAAGTGAAGCCAATCTATGCTGAAAAGCCGAGAAGCACTGTACAGCTGTTTCATCCCTATTGGGAATCATCAGCAGTGCGCATCTCACGAAACCCCGGAGATTCTCGAACCCGCAACCTCCTGGCTAGTAGTTTGAACACATAATCGTTCAACCATGGTCTCACACCAACAACACACTATGAAATACGTCCTGAACATCATGCCAGCTGAAAATGAGACGGCATTTGTGAAGCACATTCCGCTGAAAACTATGCTGAAGGAAGGATTTATCTGAAATTTAACTGGCTGACCAGTTAAATTCATCTTCTTTTTGAAAAGAGCCTTTGTTTTCGCAACCAGTCTGTGTTAGTCCATCCGTTCGTTAGTTATATTTGCTGGTACCATTTGTTCTGTCCAGCACGCCGGTGCAAATCCTCCCTATGAAGACGGTGATTCTCCTGAACTCATGTTTAGAACTGGGGGAGAGAGTCCATGTTTTAGGAGATCCAATGCCCCTTACTATCCACTCCCTGTGCATATCCGATTGACCGAGTGTGAGGCAACTGCTGTAGAAACGCATTCAACTCGCCTGGTCACTCCAAGACTACTTCAGCGGTTGTGTCACGGTTTGATGCCTAGAGCTACTCGAGGAGTATCTCACTAAACACTCCCTCAAAGTGTCAGTTTTAGCTCATGAACTCCGTTTTCTTCGTTTCGACTTGCTTTCAGTGCTTCATATTTCATCTGCACACGGGGCTGAGGGCAGGTGGTGGTATCGGGGATGAAATTGAAGCGCCGGACGGAGATGAATGGGAAGGCTTTCGAATAATGTTCGATTTGACATTCTTCTTCTTCGTGATCGTCATCCTGCTGGCCATCATCCAAGGTGAGTGAATCTTCACGACTAAGACCCACTTTCCGGGTTCCAGTCCAATCGGTTCCTTAGTCGGGATAACTAAGAAACGGCGGGGAGAGGCGGCACCCTCTTGTGGCCGTTCTATCCCTATCCACCAGCTGGGCCTCAGTAAACCTCAATTCACGCAGCCTTTGTTTCTTTGTGGAACAATCTTAGCAAAGACGTCCTTTGTTTTGCTTCCGTAGTAAGATTTAGCGATGTGTACACAAGCAACTAGTGCCATTCGTATGACATATTACGATAAATCATGCTTGGTTAGAAGCAGACAAATCACATGTAGTACTCCAATAGCGTCCAGCTTTCATCGCCATGAAGCAGGAAGGTTGGAAGTGTACGTAAAGTTTTGTAACCCGGGACTACCACACGGACCACAAAGGTTTCGGAACCAACTAAGATGACGTCATCAGTTCATTTTGGGTAGTAATCAGGACAGTAGTCAAGTCCTCTTACTGGTCAGTCAGATGCGGTGACTCCATTGGTTCATTTTTTTTAGCTTGATTTCTAATCGAAGGACAGATATACCAACGTGTCCACGGAGGTCATCCTCAGGAATCCCAGTTCAGCCGTCAGTAATAGGCAACACGATGTTGTTATCAACTTTTGTGCTCACAGAGTAGGACACGGAAACAGGACAAAACACCCTCCTGGTATTGCGTGATCCGAGTCTTTATTCCTTTTTCACGCCCACCAGGTCTAATTATCGATGCATTCGGTGATCTGCGAGATCAGTTGGAACAGGTCAAAGAAGATTTGGAGTCAAAATGCTTCATTTGCGGTATTGGCAAGGAATACTTTGACAAAATTCCTCATGGGTTTGAACAACACGTGGAGAAGGAACACAACTTTGCCAACTACATGTAAGTGTTGTCATCATTATCATCATCATCTTTACGAGGACGACTACAGTCCTCGACCAAAGTTTTTTCGGTCAAAAGACCGTTGGTTTTCCGAGAAATGCAGGTACATTACCATCTTTATAGGACAACTACAGTCCTCGGCCAAAGTTTTTTGAGTCAAAAGACAGCGTTGGTTTTCCGGGACATGCAGGTACATTACCATCTTTATAGGACAAGTCATTACACATTTTCCAGTCTCCAGCCAGAGGGCCAGGAGACCGGGTTGGTCAAGCTTTCAGCTATCCTGGTATGGGAAACCAAACGGGTGTCACACGGACACTCCCTCACCAGCATAGCTCAATGCGTCGCGCAGGTACACAAACCGTCACATCACGGTAAGATCCAGCCTCTTCGTGACGGATGCAAGTGTCCTTACCGGTTGACTGGGCGCCGTGTATTCCTTTGTTCAAGAGCGACAATCTGCATCGAATTGTTGGATGAAAGTGAACTACACCGGTGGACACCCTAGATTGCACTTTCGCAAAACATCTGTTTTTTTTCAAAACACCGTCCTCCGTCTGAAGTGCGAACAACTCAAAGAAAATGAACACTGACATGCTCTCTAATAATGCCCATCCGTGGAAGAAACCACTATTTTGCACGCCACGTTCAAGCTCCCGGTCTCCGTTGTGTTGAAAGTAACCCCAAGAACAACGTGCCTATCGATTTGATGGCAGAATTTCTTCTGCCTGAATGAAAGTTTTACTTGATATTGCTGCAGACTTTGCCTTAATCTCCAAGCTATTTACATTGGTTCATTATAGTCTTATTTACCTGTTTGTTGACAACTACATGGGTCAGACGTGGTCAGTAGTATATGGAATAAAGGTGAACTTACGCTCCTGGGCAACTGGAATGGCGTGTTACTCTTGAGGTTGAAGAATGCTCTAAAACGATCTTGAGGATTCACCGGTATGGAAGAATCTGATAATCTCACTCTGGTGGGACAGACAACACGAGTCTTCGAGGACAACAAATCACCCTTTTATTGGTTTGAGGTGTCTCTACCTTCTGATCGTAGTTACTAGGGTCTGATTGCGCCAAGCCGAGACGATGTCGCCGGTTGTCGATTGGTGATGAAACGTTTGCAATTCAACTGTCAAGCTCGGCGAACAGACCAACAACCAAACAGCGCACCCGAGCTACCTACATTGCACAACATTGCTAATAGTCGGCCTTTCGTTTGCGCTGTAACTTAATCCAGGATGCCGTCAAGAAGAGAGTGGACCTTACCGTGTCGTGGCGGCGACCCATTGAACTATACCAGGGGGTGTCCGCGCGACACTCACAGAGTCTCTCAGGTAGAGGTCTGGCGAACACAGTCTCCTGGCCCTCCAGGTTGGGGGCTGAAAAATTATTGGCGAAGTGTTCCGTAAAAATTTTAATGTACTTGCATTTCCGGCCCAACATCGCCGCCTTGCGTTTAGGCTTTTGAGCCAAAAGCTTCGGTTGAGTCCCCTAATTGTCCTCCTGTCTAGATGTGGGCGCCCTGGTAGTATCCCAGCCCTCGTACAACCGTGACATTCACAGGCAATGACCAGGGATGATCACACGCCCTAGTTTTAGTGACCACAAGTAATCCAAATTTCGTTTCGCCAACTGTGTCGGTGTTTGTGCAAAACCTGCTTTGTAATAAATTTACTTACGTCACAGCCTCCCGGCCAAATCCCTGTTTTCTCCTAAAGTTTTATTCCTTGTACGAGAAACTAGAAGTGAGAGTGCCCTACCAATACGGTTAATGATTAGAAGTATAGCGCCTGGAAGTATCGCATATTTAGTGTCCGACCCACAGTTGATATCGTGATGCACACACACCTGAAAAGACTACCATGATCGTCTCCCCACTGCCCGCCAGGGTCTTAGGTTTTCAGTTACACCAAGTTGTCCGTTTTCTTGCTTTTTTTCAAGGTACTTCTTAATGCATATTATCAACAAGCCGGATACTGAGTATACTGGACAGGTGAGTACGAGTCTCCTGGGATCATGAGTTTTTCTAGTCAAACTTGAATACGTTTTCCCTTTTTTTGCCAACTAGATAAATGTTTGCCTAATGGATGCATCACATTGGTGATGACTGTTAAAGAATGACTTCAAATTTGCCCGAATCATGCTAGTTGAGCGCCGAGTGTCGGTCATTGGTTCATCCCGGGGGTGGGGATGGTTGCGGGCGATCACAGCACCAGCAACAGACTGCCATTGGAACAGAAAGCGGACATACTGAAGTGGTGGTATTCAACGGATTATTGAAGTGCAGGAAATGCAAACCACAACGCAGCACAGATTGTAAATGGACCAATCGAAGTAGGAGTAACCTAACCTTCAGATAATGTCTTTCGTTGAAGAAATGAGGTACCTTTTAGGACCAGAAAGAAAAAGCCAAAAAATGTTTGCAAATCAGTTGGCAAAATCCGCAATCACAAAATGCGTTTGGGTAGCTAATACTGTGGCCAAGATTTCGCTGGCAGTTTGTAGTCAATAAGGACGCAATGCTCACGTTGACATTGTGCAGGTAAGCTGTTGCGTAAAGCACGAAACGGAATCTGACAGACGTCATCATCATCACTGAGATTGATGTTTTTTCGTCAGACCTTTGCAGTGTTAGTCACAAACTTCTGTCTGCGTAAACTGCGTTGCCTGTATCCACTATTCTGACTTCCCTGCTATACGCCAACAATTTGGTTCGCACTACAGACCATTGCCAACTGGTTTTATTAACTTGAAACAGTAAGCAAAGTCTGATTCACAAATCTTTAATGAACCATTTTGACAGCCTACTAATAGCAAAAAAAAGCGAATACTTTCATTTCATATCGATTTCGTGATCGTCTTCGGTCCCGTCGCATGTGATGTGACCCGAGGCACAGCATTATTTGGTCCCACTTGAGGTGGAACAGTCCACCTACAATATGACGAACAGTTAACGCTCTCTCCGAATAGTTCTACCAACAACATCACAGGCAAGTCAAGCAAAAGCAGACTTTGGTTCGCTGTGTGAATTAGCTAAAACGCTCCCTTAGTGAACATTCCCAAACAAGAGATTCAGCTGGATTCAGTCGAGCCTCCTGGCAAAACGAAATTTGTGTGTGAATGTGAACATTGTCGAAGACTACTGTTGACTTGATAGTAATATATCCAATATCCTACTGCTCCAGTGTAAATCGACTGCCTCTTTTGCACGCACAGTCCCGCAACTTGGGAGTCAATACATTGTTCGAACTGGAGCTCAACTTGAGCAACTTGGGGTCAATACATTGTTCGAACTGGAGCTCAACTTGAATATTCTGGCGCATTTTTGAATTTTCTTGTAGGAATCGTACGTATGGGAACTATATCAACAACGTTGTTGGGATTTCTTCCCCATCGGCGACTGTTTCCGAAAGCAGTATGAAGAAGAGCTGCAACCGAAGTAACGAGAAATGACCACGTGACCGACGGCCCTCCCTTGATACAATTCAGTCTACCCGTTACCTATCCTCAACCAAGAACCCTCATTTGTGCTACTTCCTTCTAATTCCTAGGAATCCAATGTCCTTACCCTCGAGTATAATTTCTCTTTCCTGCTCCGATCATTTATGCTTAGTTTCGACACAAGTGCGCCATGTTACTCCTCCGCTTTCATCGGAATTTCACGCAAGTTTATCCATCATTTTATATCCTATGTGATCATTACGGTAACTGAGTTGCACACACCTCAACGGACTCACTTAAATGGAGGTATCCTGCCCAACTAACCCATTTCGGCTCACCATCCCGTTGATTTCTTTGCTGTGCTGATTGTCATTTCTGGTGAGCAAACTTTCCTCTTTCTAGTTGGTAGCTGATATCTCCCATAGATTTCGCGATTTTATGATTTTACCTCCAAGTATATATGCACGATGGAAACTGCCTGTTTTCTGATTTTGTTCAGTGGTCTGACATAGCCCTAAGAAACTCTGGAAGATCCCGTGAGTAAGATAGGGAGAGGTGCGCCATAGTCATCCAAAGAACAGCTGATTTTTCCAGGTTGAATGTATGAAGAGATTAAGATAACTACATCTCTTTGGCATCTATCTTTATAGCGTCTTCTGGTCCATTATTACCAGGCCCAACAATTACGTTTCTGAGTTTACTTTGAACGACATGTTGGCACACATTTCGTCATTCATTCGGTAACGACTGCCCTACGGCATCGACATCTACTTGGAGAGTGTGGCTTTGGAACCCCAATATATCTTGTCGTCAGCAAACAGTAGACAGGGATTTGAAAGCGAACCTAGGGGGTCATGGATGTAAGTCGGAAAGAGGAGTGGTCCTGAGACGGAACCGTCAAGAACCACAATGAAGATCAGGACAGAAGTAGAGCAGACTCATTTGGCGTTTACTGGATATGCTCTGGTCTATAGAGGAGCGTTGATCCAGCGCTGAATTTATCTTAGAATCCCATAAGACCTAGTGTTGTAGGGCACGGAGCGCACGGGCCCTCGTCGAATGCTTTTGAGAAATCAACAGATATGAAATGAAATATGAATCTTTCGTCTTTGGCATGTAGTGAGCTGCCTCTGAATACAAACATGTCTTTTATGCCTTAACGTTCTGAGACGAATCTGTGTTGCACCGAGGATATCAGATTATAGCGACGTGATTTAAAATGGCCTTCTTCAGCATACATCCCTTCATGTTGCATTACTGTGCTTGGTGAAATCTGCGGCTGTTTGGAGTGCAGTGGTTTGGTTACTCAAAAATTTACTTTACCAGGCGTGTGTGGCCAAGAAATAGAAATAATAACGCTAGATTGATTATGCAATAATAGAGAGGCCAGATTGAACAGATTCACCTATATTTATTCTCCTTAAAATAGTTCGTCGCTGGCCCAGGTCAGCGAGCAAACAACAATCCAACCATAGTTTTCCGGGGGTCTTTTGAACAGTTCCCTCACATAGTAGATTCTGAAGATTGTCCGAAATGTTTTGATACCAGAGCACACGGGACTCGCGAATGACCACTGTAAGCGCGTTTTTGTAGTTTTTCGCATTCAAACAAAAAACGGTTATGCAATTGACAGAGTACATAATGCTACAAAGAATGCAAAAGAAAGGCAGAAAACACCGTAGAAGATAAGCGGCGGGAATTTCGCCCCTGTCAAGCGACTGGCGATTCATCAGACAGAAATTTTTGTCAATGTGAATGGTGTTTCCTTTTGAATGCTCGGATGGTCCTCGTTTGGCCCCAACGTGCTGAAGAGGTTTGTCTGGTGCAAGGGTTGATGAACAACTTCCTCTGCAAGGTTAAAGTACTTTGGAGGCTGTACATAGATGCGGCTTGCCAAGATTGAATGTAATGCTGTCACTGAGGCACGGTGCAGGCCCGCATATTGTCCTCTGTTGGCTTCAGATATTGCCATCGGGCTGCTTCTGATCTCCATGCCTGTCCATCAAAGTAAAGGCAGTTAGCTTGCTTCTTCGGCGATGCCTGACGTAGGTGTCGTTTTAA